TATATATATATAGAGAGAGAGAGAGAGAGAGAGAGTACAATATAATTATTATACACAAGTGTATTATTATTATTGTCATATCCTACTCCCACCCATATTTGCAGCAGTGTCCGAAAAAAATTAGCACGTTCAAAGTCTAGTGTGACCGCCCCTTAAAGCCACTTTTTGAGAATGCAAAATTGTTTCGCATGCTGCAACGGTCATGATGTGACATCACGCTGTGCAGCGTCTTTTTAAAAACTTAAATTCAACACGTAACAAATTATAATACATCTAAAATGTAAAAACATACAATCTACTCCACTTTCCTGCAGCGCTGCAGTTTAAAATTTATGTTCTCATAATTTAGGTACTTTTTTTGATGATCTGAATCTTTTAAGTGTGACAAATATGCAAAAAAAAAAAAAACAGGAAAGGGGCCAACACTTTTTCACACCACGGTATATATATATATAGAGAGAGAGAGAGAGAGAGAGAGTACAATATAATTATTATACACAAGTATATTATTATTATTGTCATATCCTACTCCCACCCATATTTGCAGCAGTGTCCGGAAAAAATTAGCACGTTCAAAGTCTAGTGTGACCGCCCCTTAAAGCCACTTTTTGAGAATGCAAAATTGTTTCGCATGCTGCAACGGTCATGATGTGACATCACGCTGTGCAGCGTCTTTTTAAAAACTTAAATTCAACACGTAACAAATTATAATACATCTAAAATGTAAAAACATACAATCTACTCCACTTTCCTGCAGCGCTGCAGTTTAAAATTTATGTTCTCATAATTTAGGTACGAGGTCATGCAGTGATGTATCGATCTGCCGTTGGTCACACGGTATCACGTGATGCGAATTCGCTGGCCAGAGATCACCAAATTTGAACTTTAAGCCCCGTTCACACCGCCAGCGACAGAGCGACATAATCCCATTCATTTTCAGTGTAGAGCTGGCGACACGAGCGACAGTGACCATTGGCGACGAAATGTGGGCGTGTCAAGCGATGCGAGTCAAGCGACAAAAGTTCAGAATTCTTCAACTTTATGCAAATAAGCAGCGAATTTAGCAAGACAAAAGTTCAGAATTCTTCAACTTTATGCAAATAAGCAGTGAATTTAACAAGCGACAACCAATGGGAGTGAAGTCAGTGGAGAGCACGTGATTCATCTGCTGTAGTGGAGTGTTACGGGGGAACTAGGCAACCAGTAGTGGGAACGCCCACTAGCGACATCAATTGCCAGCTACAAGCGACAAACAGCGAAAAAGTCGCTGGCGGTGTGAACGGGGCTTTAGAATGCAGCGAAATGCAAAAACTTTTTGCACGGGCTTGCATTTCCGGTCTGACGCATTCGCATGCATATGTAAAAATGTATCAACGATTTGATGTTTCATATCGTTCGGTATCGATAATTATTGACATTTTTTATAACCGTTTTTAAAACAAAGAGCAATAGAAAAAACTGTTTAAATTTAACCCAATTTATTGAGACAAACAACAAATATTTTTTAGTTTTAACAGTCAAACCCAAAATAAAAATTAAACAAATATCTCTTTTCCAATGTTTTATATGCAGATTAAATAGGTCTGAAGGAAACGTTTGTCTTGTTTCCCGAGGCCACAGGAGGGCGCAATGAGCAAAATAATGCAGCACATTAAATTGCCAACGCAAAGGAAATAACTGTCTATAAAAAGAAAAACGTGCATTGTCTAAATTAACTCATATAAATCAAACATCATTTTGTAAATTGCATAAACAATTATGAACAAAACAGCATCATGTATTTATGCATTGCTTAATCACACAGATTGCCTTTAAAAACATATGAGACGCAGTGAAAAGGAATAAACCTCCACAAATTCGTGACGTGTTTTCTAAAAGTTTAAACCGTTTTAACTTTGTATGGCTTTCTATACATCTCTTGTGTGAGACGCGAGTGCAGCAGTCATATTTGTCCGTCTAAAAAATGCGCTGAATATGCGTTCTGTGTGAATGGCTTGGTTTCGGTTTGAACCTAATCAAGATCTTCTGAGCCACTATATTTCTCTAATATTTTGAATGAATAACGCAGCAACTGCGCGTCTTGTGGGCTAGACTTATGAAACATTTAAATGCAACAACGTGGCTTACATCATCATCACCGCATCTCACGCTCCACTAATGACGCTCCCAGACGCACACCTAACATTTGATTGTACTATTTTTGCATTCAAATCCAAATGTTTATTTTAAATTAGACTAATATTCATTTTTTTAATTCACAATCTCCTCATCACAGGCAAGCACAACACTCAATTCAGCATGTGTTTGTGTGTGCGGTCTGCGTCACTCACAGCACTTGCCTATATCGTGCACTATATCGAACATTTTTTATATCGTTATCGAAGATGGTGTACCGTCGATCAATATCGATACCGTTTTATCCCCCAGGCCTAGCTGGGCATACACTGTGCGATTTCATCAAGGTACCAACTCGCTGTACGAGCAGATCGCATGCGATGAAAAGTCAAAGCTCACGATTTACGTGCTCACACTGTACAGTCCGATTGTCGAGCACGATTTATGTGCTCACACTATACGTGTGAAACACTCGAGTTGCGCAGACGATGACACTGTATGTGGATGATAGCCAGAGATATAAAAAAAAAAAGCATCAGCTATCGATGATATCGAGAGGATTTGGCATTTCCAATTAATTAATTAAATTACTAACCATTACTATTATTATTTTGGTACTTTTATTATTAAATTTATAGGTCTACTACAATTAATTTGCCCCGCAATAATTTCATAGCTCATTACCGCACAACTGACGTGCGGATAATAAATGATTATATCAGCTTACTCCTCATTGAAAATGATTTGAAACATTTAGATATATTACACAATAAATAGGCCTATAATTAAAATTCCGTCTAAAGTAACCTATGTCCGAACACTGTAATAATCAGTCATCAATGAAAATATAAAACTTGTTTAACACGGAATATTTCAATTCAGCTGTTGTTGTTTTTTCACTATGTAGGCCCTATATCAGCCATAAGAGATTTTTTTTATTTTTTTTTTACAATACCCAATATGTCTCTCGTCTCCTCTGAGAATATGTGCCGTTAAGCGTCAGATGCCGACAGCTCAGTCAGTTTTTACTTTCACTTTCTGTAGCTTAATGAATTGACTGGAGTTTAAAACTTCTTCACGGGCATAACTATGCTCATGCAGTTTGCACATTGTTTGTGTGGCATGCATTGGCTCGCCTTCATGATATAAAACTGAAATATTTATAATGTTGTGACGTATTTGTCTTTATCACTATTTGCTAAATGATGGACAATGGTTCACATTTCCCATGATAATAAATAAAAAAAAACTTGTTTTCTTTCTTGCTGTATAAAAGATGAAATAGTTAAAGTTCTATTTTCGCTTGGGCGCAGTGAGGGAAAAAGCACTGAGTTTAGGGCAGTCGGTTCGTAGCTCTGCTTCAACTGTGCGATACCCTCATGAGGGGCGACATGTCAGAAATTCATCCGACCGCCCGATTGCCTGTCGGGAGAGACTTATCGCTTCTCGGTTTCCCCTGTACATGGCACGAACACTGCACGACAAACGATGCATGACAGGAAGTACGATTTTTGTGCAGTTTTTGACATTTCCAGGCCTCGTACTTTGACAAACTCCTCCTACAGTTTTAATCGAATCATCTTCAAATTTGGTGAGGGTTATCATAAGGCTTTTGTGACGTTAAATTGTGAAAATCTTGAGTTTTCGTCAAAGGGTGTGTCCCTGGCGGCCTGACACAATTTGATGTTTCGCCATGAAACAGGAAGTTGCTGTAACTCAGGCAAGGAATGCACAATCTGCCCCAAACTTCACACGTTTTATAAGAGTCTCGCTGAACACATCTTAAAGCCAATATTCAGTTATAATCATAGCGCCACCTGCTGGCAACAGGAAATGACTCGTTTTACACTAACTTGAACATGCAATCGCTTCTGTGTCTTGGTACAAAATCGCACGACCAATGCAAGACACACGATGCATGACAGGAAGTACGATTTTTGTGCAGTTTTTGACATTTCCAGGCCTCGTACTTTGACAAACTCCTCCTACAGTTTTAATCGAATCATCTTCAAATTTGGTGAGGGTTATCATAAGGCTTTTGTGACGTTAAATTGTGAAAATCTTGAGTTTTCGTCAAAGGGTGTGTCCCTGGCGGCCTGACACAATTTGATGTTTCGCCATGAAACAGGAAGTTGCTGTAACTCAGGCAAGGAATGCACAATCTGCCCCAAACTTCACATGTTTGATTGGAGTCTTGGCCTGAAAACATTTATGTGCCAATATTGAGTTATGATCATAGCGCCACCTGCTGGCAACAGGAAATGACTCGTTTTACACTAACTTGAACATGCAAAGTCCGGTCTGCCCCAAACTTCACATGTTTGATTGGAGTCTTGGCCTGAAAACATTTATGTGCCAATATTGAGTTATGATCATAGCGCCACCTGCTGGCAACAGGAAATGACTTGGTTTACAGTAACTTAAACATGCAATGTCCGATCTGCACCAACTTCACACGTTTTATAAGAGTCTCGCTGAACACATCTTAAAGCCAATATTCAGTTATAATCCTAGCGCCACCTGCTGGCAACAGGAAATGACTCGTTTTACACTAACTTGAACATGCAAAGTCCGGTCTGCCCCAAACTTCACATGTTTGATTGGAGTCTTGGCCTGAAAACATTTATGTGCCAATATTGAGTTATGATCATAGCGCCACCTGCTGGCAACAGGAAATGACTTGGTTTACAGTAACTTAAACATGCAATGTCCGATCTGCACCAAACATCACATGTTTGGTAAGAATATTGGCCTGAAGACATCTTCACGTCAATGTTCAGTTATAATCATAGCACCACCAGCTGGCAGCAGGAAGTTTGGCACAAGTTTTCCTAAAGCCACCAGGTGGTAGTGAGCCTGGGTGCGAGGGCCCTTTCATCGCTACTTGCAGCTTTAATTTGTATTATATCTGATATATCAGCATTTTATGGCTCATATATGAATGTGGAGCTTTAGGAAGAAAACAATGCTGTAATTTTATTCAGAAGCCCAAACTAAGCAAAAAATATTAAATTTGGTGCTATTGCTTTTATTTTTATGAACAAAAAGTAAAATGAAATTCTGATACCTTGTAATTTAGACCAGTAAGATGTGTATAACAGTACAGCAGACTACTGACATAAAATGCATATAAATGTCATTTGTCGATCTATATATCCAAATAATGTCTTATTAAGATGATATTTAAATGCTTAATTTTATTATCAATTTTTAATTGCGGGGGCAAATCATACATTGCAATCCAATGCAATCATGAGTGTGACGTGTGTCATTTTAACATAATTGATCTAAAAAGGATAGTAGTTTGGATAGTAAACCTATGTAAAACCTAGTTTGTTAAACCTAAGTTGCTTCAGTCTAGGAAATGTTCATCTTGAAAAATGTGAAAGTTATTCTTACATTTACTGTATAAATGTTTAAAAACTTTACAGCAAAAATACTTTTAATAGATTGAGAGCAGAAGGGATGTAGTTGATTGTTGAAGTTTTGTTCATGTTGATAATTTAGAGCCTTAGAAATTCATGTATCAAATATGATACTATACTGTAGGGTTAAACAAATCTAGCTTAATGCAAATCATCACATCTGAATGATTGTTTGACTTATGTGAGCATGAAATAACAACAATGTACTGGTGCTTCAGTACTGTAAAGCACTGTACAGTGCAGTCTGTCGTCAGTTGTTTTGGTTGCTAGTTAATATTGGATGATCATCTGACAGCTGTTCTTGTGTGTTGTCAGCATGTGTTTATGTATACACTCAAAAGCGAGTAAGCAGCTGGTCTCTGGCTTGATAATTGTATTATGTTATCTGCATAGAGTTCTTCATCATGCACTTCCTATTCACTCAGGGTCTGCAGATGGCTTCTTAATAATGTAGAAATAACATTTTCTGTTAGACTTTCAGTTCCTTATATGTCATGCACATGGGTTTTTGAGATTGCATTGCACATTGGTCACTATACAAGCCAGATGAACTTGGCTTGTCTGTATAAATTATAACTAAACCATTGTCCTGAAATGCCTTTGATTTATCCTCATTCATGATGTTTTCCTAGGCCCAGTTTTGCTGCCTCCAACAATTCTTTAAATTGTTGCAGCTGCATTTAGAAACAAACTTCATGCTAGTAGGGCTTTTGTTCTGCATTCATTAGTCAGGCAGGCCATTTTCTTAAGCTGTAAGCTTTATATGATTTACGCTTGTATTATGTTTTGGGTCAATTTGACCCATTTTGATTTTTGAGCTGTCAGAAATTCCAGTTAACCTGTGATTTTATTCTTGATATTTTGTGACTTTTTCTCATTTAGGGCCATGGACATGCATGCAAAGTGAGGATACACTCATGTGTTTTGAAGTGCACACACATAAATGTGTTACGATTTTGATCTTCGTGGGTCAATTTGACCCACATTTTGTGTTGTTTTAAGGCAACTGTACAGACCCAAATTAAATCTGTTTCTTGGGTATATGTTGTTATGTTGGTGTTTTACTACCCTGGAAAGGTGCAAAATTAGCTTTTCCTCATTATTTTCAGTACTGACTTTCTCAGACTCAGATGGTAAAAGTAAGCTATCATTTCTATTTTCAATGTACGTATATGAAATACCATTCAACTTATCTTTTTCTTCCAGAAATTTTGTAACTTTTTCTCATTTAGGGCCATGAACATGTCTAAAGTTGTTTCAAATTTGGAGAATATAAAAAAAGTCGAGGTTCCTATGCAATTTTGAATTTTTTTTAAGGGGTTAAAAAATGTGGTTCAACACATTTTTAAAAATCATACTTTTTGATTTCAATTGTTTGTTCTGTGTGACAAATACTGATATTCAAATTGTTCCGTTTATACCTGATTCCTTCTTGTTTTTAATAATGTGATATTTAGGGACTTGCATTGAATGCAATTCGGGTCAATTTGGCCCGCTCCATCAAAATTGTAAATCGAACATAATACAAGGGTTAAGCTATCAAATGCAGTCAAACTGATTCTGCATTGGTTGTGGAATATCTACATGAAGTGTCACTTTATGATTCACCCAGTTGCAGTACCATATGATTATATGATCTCTACTGTCACACAGGTAAGTAAATCTTTATAACATGCTTTTCTGGTAAAAGTTTTTGAGCAAAAATGTGCATCCTTGTCTACAAAATGCACAATGCCATGCACAAGGTACAGTGAAATTTAGAGTGGCAACTCTCAGAGAGCAAGAAACATCCAAAAAGAAATTTTGCAAATAAAGAGAAAAGGAATAGTTAGGAATAGTTCACCCAAAAATGAGAATTTGCTGAAAATTTGCTCACCCTCGGGCCATCCAAAATATCCATGAGTTTCTTTCTTCATCAGATTTGGAGGAATTTAGCATTACTTGCAGCACTTGCTCAGTAGTGGATGCAATGAATGGGTGCCGTCAGCCAAACAGCTGATAAAAACATCACAATAATCCACAAGCAATCCGCACGACTCCAGTCCATCAATTAACATCTTGTGAAGTGAAAAGCTGCATGTTTGTAAGAAACAAATCCATCATTGAGGCGTTTTAACTTTAAACCATGGCTTTTGGCCAAAATAACAATCCATAATCCATAATAATGCTTCCTCCGTCTGTTGTCCTCTCGCATCAAAATCCACCAACATATTTGTTTTGAACGGTTTTTGCTTGTAAGTGGTGCTTACACTCTAAAAAATGCTGGGTTAAATACAACCCAGTGCTGGGTAAAATAGGGACAAACCCAGCAATTGGGTTGTTTTGACCTGCGGTTGGGTTACTACCCAGAAGGTTGGGTTAAACATTTAACACAACCGCTGGGTCAAAACAGCCCAATTGCTGTGTTTGTCCCTATTTTACCCACTGGGTTGTACTTACCCTAGCATTTTTTAGAGTGTAATCTGTGCTTATGTTTCCTCCTGATTCAGATGACTTTTTTTTTCTTAAATGAAGGAAAACAAAATATTATGGATAAGAGGATTTATATTTTAGGCTTTTGCCCCCCCCCCCCCCCCTTCATTTATTCACAGCCACATCATCAACCATTTATTACGATTATATACGCATACAAAGTGAAGAAATGTGTCAACAATATAGGGTTAATGAAACAACTATTACCTGCTACTGATGTATTTTCAGCAGATGTAGACTAACGTTGTTCTGCTTTCTAATTTTTTTTTTTAGCAAGCGAGAGCAGAACAAGAAGAAGAGTTCATCAGTAACACCCTTTTCAAGAAGATTCAGGCCCTGCAGAAAGAGAAAGAAACACTAGCGGTCAGCTATGAGAAGGAAGAGGAGTTCCTCACCAATGAGCTCTCGAGAAAACTTATGCAAGTAAGTGCTCAACTGTTGTCCGGTCTGTGAATTGGATTTGTTCTCTGTGGCGCTCGTACCAGAGCATTGAGTGTTGCTCAAGAGCACATATTGCATAGCAAACGTAGAGCACATGTGACAGTAAAAGAAGATGATTACCACCTCTGTGTTCAAAGTTCTAGTGATAAGTTACTGAGGGGGAGTACAGGAAATGTTGTTCAAGGTCTGCTCTGTAAGCAGCCTTCACCAAGTCTTCTGGGATCATTTAAACATACACACAACCTTGTTAAGAGTGATAGATTGCAGTTTCTAAACTCACCTTCCAAGGACAAAGCTTCCTCAAAAAGCTTCCCAGTTCCACCACAATGTTGAGGTTTATCTGACTTTGAGGCAGTGATTCATTCACTTTAGGGGAACTGCTTTAGCAATGCTGTCTTTAAGGAACTTCTTATAGCTTAAAGAGTCAGGGGAATCCTGTTTGTCCTCAATTTCTTGTGGAACATGAGCGAAAGAGCCAGAGATGGAGTGGGGAAGAGAGAGCTGCAGAGAAGCATATGGTCACCTGTGGTTTTACATATTTCCTTACAGTCATGGGTTGCAGTTTGTTGGAAATGCAGCTGTAAGCACTCAGACTCAACAATTTCCAGCTATAGCTGGAAATTGGAAACGGTTTCATTTAAAAAGAAAAAGAACAAAGAAAAAATTACTGGAACCAAATGATTTTCATGATATCTGATCCAATCTTCATTGTCACATGATCCCTCAGAAATCATTCTGATATGCTGATTTGGAGCTCAAATACGTTAATTATGTTATTATTATTAACGTTGTAAAGAGTTGTTAATACGCTATAGGGCTGTCAATTTTTTTTTTAGAATTTTGAATATTCGTTGAATTTAAAATAAAAATCCACATTTTGCATTCGAATTTTAGGTGTGTGTTAAGGAGGCAGCCTTATCAGTGGCGCACGAGATGCGATGACGATGTAGGTGTCATTGCATTTGAATGTTTTTGTTAGCCTATCCAGTTGAAGCCACTAGATGCAGCGCTGCTGCGTTGTTAATTACAAATATTGCGGGAAAAGAGAACATCAATGCAGAGAAGATCTTGTTTACGTCAAAACTGAAACCAAGCCGTTCACACAGAACGCATATTTCGCGCATTTTCTAGATGGACATCTATCACCGTTGCATTCGCGTCTCGCACAAAAGAGCTGCATATTTAGAAAGCCATGTAAAATGAATGCAAGTTTAACTTTGAAAAAACATATCTCGAGACTTGCTTTATGGCAGGGTTTTTTCCCATCCCACTGCATCTCATGTTTTGTGTGAATGGCTTTCGGCCCTTTGTACTAAACTATGAATACATACATGATGCTGTTGTGTTTATAGTTGTTAAAGCAACCTAATTAATTATAATTGGTTTATAAACATTATTTTAAACATTATGCACTTTTTTCACAGATGGTCATGTTATTATGCTTTGAATAAACATGCATTAGTGATATTTTGCTCGATGCGTCCTCTTGTGGCCTCAGGAGAGAAGCCAAAAGCTTTTCTTCACCCTAACTGAAAATATGCATTTTAAATTTGAATATAATTTTAATTTTGATAACATTTAAGTACAAAGTTGAAATGTAATTTTTCAGCCATTTTGACAGCCCTAATACGCAATATAGAAAAAATACTAGGGCTGTGTCTGAAATTGTCCCCTATATCTCTAAATAGGGCACTATTGGAGGGGACAGACGTTCGTAGTGGTGTTCCGAAACCATTGTGGACGTTATCGAGTGCACTCATTCAATCCCATAATGCACCGCAATAACAACTGATGTACACTCAGTGGCTAGAGAATATCCATAATGCACTGAGGCTCATGCAGAATAAATTTCCACTTATCACCAGAAGATGGCGCCTGCAGCTGAATCATCCATCCATTTTCCAAACTGCTGGTCAAATGAGGGTTCCCATAGCAGAGTTCATGACAAATCTTTTCATTACTACTAGAGCTGCGAGTTTGCTGAGTTTTGCAATGAATATAAAACAGCAAGCGCAAACTATGCAAAAGCAGACACTTTTCCGGCAGAAATCCTTCAAATATGTGGCTTGAGCAGATTCAGTCTGGTACACATTATTTTCATAGTTGTATCAGTTTGAAATCCATTTTCTCCATTTCTTGCTCAGTTACAACACGAGAAAGCCGAACTGGAGCAGCACTTAGAACAGGAGCAGGAGTTTCAAGTCAACAAACTGATGAAGAAGATCAAAAAGCTGGAGAATGACACGATCTCCAAACAGCTCACCTTAGAGCAGGTAACTCCTTCAAATCTTGCACACTGAGATGATAAAAAAATTCTTTGCATATATTTGAACTCTTTTGTGTTCTTTTAGCTTAGACGTGAAAAGATCGACTTGGAAAACACCCTAGAGCAAGAACAAGAAGCTCTTGTGAATCGGCTATGGAAACGCATGGACAAGCTGGAAGCAGAAAAAAGGCCAGTGCAGTTCTTTTGTGTCAGTAGCTGCTGCTTTGGGTAACACTTCTACGGCTCACTTCAGAAATATAAACACTGATTCGATCTACCTAATTCACACTTATTTAATTAAAAACTATTCCCTCATTTTCCAAATCGTCCCCCTGAATCTCCATTGGATGACTTCTGAAAGCTTGAACCACACTCAAAACATAGTATTTCTGTCATTTATAATCTGATTCACAATATGAATTCAGGCTTTGCAAATCAGGCCAGAGGTGCTTGGGAAGAGAGTTTGTGATTTGAGTTATCTGATGGACACTGTATTCTTGAGCTCACTCACACCTCATCTATATGCTCAAGGCATGGGCTTATACAATGTAAGATTCTGCATAGGGTTTACTTTACTAATGCTAGACTTGCCAAAATATACCCCTCTGTCAGCGATGCATGTAATAGGTGCAAGCAATCACCAGCAGACCTCATTCACATGTTGTGGGAATGCCCTAAATTATTTGATTATTGGACTAAAATATTTAAAACTTTGAAAGATGCCTTCGACATAGATATCGATACAAATCCACTTTTGGCCATTTTTGGGTTGGCAGTAGATGCTAACCTTTTAGTAACGGTCCAAAAGGCTTTAGCCTTTACTACTTTACTAGCAAGACGTCTTATCCTTTTAAAGTGGAAGCACGTCTCACCCCCTTCCTTTGATACATGGCTAAAAGAAGTGTTTACTTGCATTAAATTGGAAAAGATTAGACTGTCACTCACTGGTTCGTTAAAGACCTTTGACAAGGTGTGGCGCCCCTTTTTATATTATCTGCTGGCTAACTGTCCTGATACTTAAGCTGAGCATTAATATATAAACATAAAATGTTTATGTATTTTAAACATAAAGCATTAAATTTTTTTTTTTATTATTATTAAAAAAAAATTTTTTTTTCTTCCCCCCCCTATGTTTAATAGGTCAGCTGTATCTGTATGCTTTCTTTCCTGATGAAAGCGATTTACAGATCTGTTTTGTTCCAACCCAATTTTTTTTTTTTTTCCCCCCCCCCCCCCATGGGAAGTTATAAGTTGTTGAGGGAGGGAAGTATTTAGTGGTGTAGTATTAGTAATAACATGGAAGAATAATGGTATAAAATTAATGTTGTAATTTGTTGAGTTGATATTCCATGCAGAAAATCTAATTTGAAGAAAAAAAAAGAAAATAAACACTGCCTTGTAACTGAGAAAGTAGTGATGCCACTTTGAATATTTAAAGTACCCTACATATGTGCTGAACACCTGCTTATGTGTTTAATAGGTCAGCTGTATCTGTATGCTTTCTTTCCTGATGAAAGCGATTTACAGATCTGTTTTGTTCCAACCCTGCAGGATTCTTCAGGAGAAGCTTGACCAGCCTGTCTCTGCTCCGCTGTCCCCCAGAGACATCTCCATGGAGATCGACTCACCTGAGAATATGATGCGACACATCCGATTCCTCAAGAGTGAGGTGGAGCGGCTGAAGAAGAACCTCCGCACTGCAGAGCTACAGCGTAAGTACCAGACTCCATTCCATTTACTCTTGGTCCTTTGACAATATAAAATAAAAACTTGCCCTATTTATTTCAACAACCTATTCTTTCATGAATATTCTTCAAAGACAACCTTTGTCTTTGTAATCTTTTATCCAAATATAATAACTTGTGCTGCCGCTGAAACAACTTTCCTTTTCATCTGTTGATCAAGTCTTTTCACAATTATAGCCAGGTGTGTTTTTTATGGTATAATATTTTATGGCCACTAGATGGCAGTGCATACATTGACAAGAACAACAGCTGGCCCTTTGTGATGCCATATGGTGTCCACTTTATTTTTATAGTTCATATAATCTTAGTCTTCTCCCCAACAGTCCAGGCACCATTACATCACCAAAGTGGTGTTTCATTAATTTAAGTTATTTAGTGTGGACTTGTGAAGAGGAGAAGGTGTCACAAGTTATGTTGATATAACTATAGCTATTGTCTTTATCTTATGTGTATTTGATTTCATCAGACGACGGCTCGATTATAAATCAGGATCTTGGAAGGGAGAGCTGGTTGTGTTTCAGTCACTATTTTATATTCATTCGGTTATCTGACAACAGAAACAGTAACATATAACAATGAAAACAGTTTTATTGAGAATTTGGCTGCATCAAATTACAGTATGTGGGCACAGAGAGGCAAACAAATGTAATAATAAATAATAAATGTACATTTTGCATGTTCAGAAGAAGTGAGCTGCCCTGTCGTGCGAATAGTGTAAACAGGCTTGTGTAAGTAAATTGCTCAGTGCAAAGAAAGAGAAGTAATGGGAACCTGGTATTTCTAAGTTCTTTTTTCCATGCGTCTAATAGACATGAACAAGTTATTTGAAAAACATCTATGACCTTTGAAACATGTCTAGTCTTCATGCTCTGTTGAGTATGGTTTCACTAATAATAAATATACATTTGCATAAAGCATCCATATTTGTCCATGCACATGTCTATTAGAGTTTTAAAAACTTGAAAAGTATTAATTTAAGATACATTTAGAACAGATAAAAATGTTACGGGAGCTTTTGATATGTGCTGTGACGCAGCTCTTGCAAAGTACCTTTTTTGTTCGTTGTCTGTCATTTCGAAGCTTAAGTTGCATATGGTTTTCTTTAGTTTTAATTTGCCTAACTATCGATCTGACCCAGTAGACACCATAACCCACTCTGTCTCTCTCCCGCATTACATTTATTTTATTTTTTAATGGTGGGTGTTTACGCAGTTGGCTAGAGCAGTGCTGATTGGGGAGAACGGAGATGCGCTCACTCTTGCCCAGGGCAAGTAAGATTGCAACTCAAGGCTGGCAGTCATGCATATGCTCTGGAACAGAGTAATATCGCGTCCACATCCCAGGCTTTGCGATTAGGAAATCGCAACGTCTCAAATCGCGATTTCGATTCGATTTCGATTAATCGCACAGCCCTAGTTACAATGATATTAAAGTAGTGTCATACATTTTTTTGGTTTGTATGTTCACATTGATGTTAAATTAAATTAAATCACTTTTTATTTCACTACTTTTTAAGTAATGCTAAAACACTGCTGGTCACTTTCAGAAGTTATAGAGATTCTTTATTTTCCAAGAAAGAATGTGAAACAAATTGGTTATATAATATTCATTTTTAAATATTTAAAAATATAATTTAAATAGATTTTACACACTTTAAGCAATATCGTATCGCATATCGAATATCGCATTTTTTAACAAGCTATCGCATTTTTCTTCAATATTGCACAGCCCTAATATATATATATATATATATATATATATATATATATATATATATATATATATATAAGGCTTGCTGCGATAGTATGGGATTACATCTCTGCCACAATTTTGCGCACGAAAGATCATATTTTGAGCGCACAAAAGTGCATTTTGCACGCGCGATCTGAGTTTTGTGGAGAAAACCTTTGTTTCGCAAAGAAAAAACTATTTAGACCGCACAAAAATCAATTTTGCATTTAAAATAAGTTTTTGGATGTGTGCAGACATTCTCTTTTGCGCGTGCAAAGTTTCACTAGCTTACTCCCTTGATGCCCGCCCTCAGTGCTCTCTAAATGCCAACAGCTTGCTTGCTCAACACAACCCAGCGTTAAATTAAGCGTTAAAATTCCAGCCAATCAGAGACGAGGCTGCTAAATTCTGATTGGCTGCCTTGACAACCATTCACAACATTTCTTGCATTACCACGACAGCAGAAGAGAGAAAAATACAGTGCGTACATAATTATTATGCAAGTTGATATTCCGATTATATTTTTTTCCAAGCACATTTGACCAATTCCAAACAACATCAATCTTAATAACTACTATTAATCTTGTATTTAATCATTTATAATTGATATATAATTAATCATGAAGGCTGGAAGTAAAAAATGTCTTATATTCAGGTGTGCATAATTATTAATTATGCGTTTGTTTGGTAATGTGTTTTTTTTTTACTTTAAACCGCATAAACACATTTCATTACACCAAATACATCAAATAATGTTCTTTTTAGCAGCATCATATGACCCCTTTAATTAAATTTTTTATTCATTTGCTTAAATTAGGGCTACATTAAATCTAAATAATTTAGCATTTTTTTTACTTTTTAAAATGTCAAAATGTATATGACATATATGCTTATTTATTATGTATATGATTAATATAAATGATAAATTAATAAATAGGGTCTAACATTAATTATAATATATTAATTCATCTGTCTAATAATGTCTAAAAATATAATAATTGTGTCTATCAAGCTCTAACAGACTATCCAAATTTTAATAAAACAATAGGGTTATGCCTTTAGAAGCACAGATGTGTCTGTCACTTTAAAAGTACGGTTCACCCAAAAATGAAAATTCTGTCATAATTTACCCAGGTTGTTCTAAACCTGCAAGTTCTTTCTTCTGTTGAACACAAAAGAAGGTACTTTGAAGAATGTAGGTAACTAAACAGCTGCTGGTCCCCAGTAACTTCCATAGTAGAGGAAAAATGCTATAAGAGTCATTGGGGACCAGAAACTGTTTGGTTACCCACATTATTCAAGGTATTTTCTTATGTTCAACAGAAGAAAGAAACTATTACAGGTTTGGAACAACTTGTGGGAGTGTAAACGATGACAAAATTTTCATTTTTGGGTAAACTATCCCTTTAAGTCAGGGCTTTAACGGCGTGCGTTCTGGAGACTCAATCATCGCCATGGAATTATTTCATCATAATTGCTATTAGCATTATAAACGGTTCAAAATACTTATTTGTCGATTCAGCTTGTTGGCCTTTGTAAAATACGGGACAAATCGCATCCCGTATTGATTTGATACAGGACGCATCATTTTACCTTAAAATACGAGACGATTCCGTATTTTAAGGGACGGGTGGCAACCCTAGTTAGAGGACAGACACTTTTAAAAACTAAACGCTCAATGCAGCGTGCCCTTATGTTGAAGTGTTTGGGATGTGGCTTTTAATGATGAGACCTTTTTTGTAATCAGGCTCTCAAAAAGTATATAACAATTTGGATATAGATTTATCGGCCAACATATCGGTTATCGGCTTTAAAAAATAAAGAATAATCGGTTATCGGTATCGGCCAAAATTTTCATATCGGTGCATCCCTAATCGAGGTGTATATGCCGTGCCTCCAAGCTTTCTTATTCGTTTTGCTAATAAACGTTCTGTTTCTTACTTATTTGGTTCCACAGTGTTTGCTGATTTTCAGTTTTATATACCCATTTAAACTTTGTGTAGCCTAAGTAATTTGTTATTTTATTAGGCATATATGGTGTATTTTTATTTGTTTGGTAAATAAAAGTTCTGAGTTTGACGTTGTTGTTGCTTAAATTGAATCAACGCCGAATTGCTGCTAATTTGAAAGTGAAAGTAAAACGCGCACAACGCTTTTTCAAGCTATTTGAAAGGCAAGAAATCCGAGAAAACGAGGGAAAACTCAAACGAACAATTGTTTGACGCCGAATTGCTGCTAATTTGAAAGTGAAAGTTAATGCGCACGGCACTTTTACAAGCCATTTGAAAGCGAAGATGGATGTGGAAGGTTTCCCCCCCCCCCCAAAAAAAAAAACACTGCACATTTTGTATGTCACTTAATCAACATACCTGATTTAACTCATCAGTGGAGACTCCAAGAAATGGGTGTGTCAAACAAAGGAGACATGCAAAATGTGCAGCAGTGCTTTAGGATTGTGATTGAGAACCACTAGTCTATAATAATATCATAATTGCTGTTTTAATGATGTGGAAGCTGACATTATGGAGTATGCCACTAACTTTAAAAAAAACAACAACAACAAAAAATGCATGCTTTCACTGCATGATGTAGCTTAGTAGAATGTATTTATTCGCGAAGACAATTTTAGTTTCAAAGTATCATTCTAAAAAAAAGTCTTATTTCAGTATTCAAAGTATTATTTTTTAAAACATTAATCTGTTATTTATGCAATTGTATTTGCAGTGTAAATCTAGCTAAATGTTTTTTTTTGAGTTGCAGCTTCTGTGTAACTACTACGTTGCAAAAAAGCATTTTCTTGATACTGATTTCATTTCATTGGTAACATCCAGAGCTGGGTAGATTACTTACAAATTGTAATCCGTTACTGATTCCAAATTACATGACACATTTTAGGTAATATAATCAGACTACTTTTAGATTACTTTTGACCTAACTTGTTTATCACATTGATTTAAATAGGATAATCTTGTACCATATTAACTGTAAGGCTTTTTTATGACTAAATTTGGTAATGGGAGAGTAAAAATATTTTTAAAACGTACACCGTTCAAACTAGGCTGCTTATGTTGAAGTGTTTGGGATGTGGCTTTTAATGATGAGACCTTTTTTGTAATCAGGCTCTCAAAAAGTATATAACAATTTGGATATAGATTTATCGGCCAACATATCGGTTATCGGCTTTAAAAAATAAAGAATAATCGGTTATCGGTATCGGCCAAAATTTTCATATCGGTGCATCCCTAAAAATTACATTACGTCAAGGTTTCCCAAACTAGGGTTTGTGTAGGAACTGCAGGGGGTTTCATGAAAAGCTAATCATTTATTAAATCATAAAAAGGTTCAATTCAAATAAATCATTTAAAAAACAATCAAAATAAAAAAGGTACTAAGAAAATTAACTATTTTATTTGTTTACGTGCATGTCGTGTGACCAAAACCAATGAACAGGCAAATACATGGTTAACCTACAGAGTAGGATGAGTCAATAAAGTATGAATAATTTATTGCTATTGTGTAAAAAATATGTAATCCATAAAAGTATAACTGTAGTCTGATTACGAGTATTTTAAAATGTAATTTAATCTAATTACAAGTACTTAATTAGTACTTCATTTTTGGAATCTGATTACGTAATCAAGATTACATGTTCAGGTTACAGCTCTGGTAGCAGCCTACAGTGTCTTATTATTCAGATTGAATTTATTGATTAAATGTAGTAATTTGACAAAAGGTGCATACATCTAATAAGGTTACAAAAAATGCCCTGGTAATCATTTGCCAAATAATGCTCTGTAATGTAGTTTCTCACACAAATGTGAATTGAAACAATATGAAGAACATGAAAAGCTTTGGGAATCAGCTGGCCACAACAGGCCTAACCAGTCAATGTACCAGCACAAACACGCACTCAACAAAGTATCGTATAATTATCGTTTTGGATAAATTCCCAGAAAATTTCCCCTAACACCTACTGCTTCAATTAGATGCTCGGTTCTTTTTTCTTTCTTTTTTTTTATGCAAGTAAATAATGTGACAATGTTTACATGTGCCAAATACAGAATCACATGGACCAAACATATAACATAAAAGTAAGAAACATAGGCCAAGTAAAGAAAGTTGCAATATTTACATGTGCCAAATATAGACTCACTTGGACAAACAAACATATATACTGATAGCCAACATTACAAGTCCATTCTGATTAGCTCCTGTATTTGCATTCTGTATAGATGCTCTGTTCTAACCTCCATCTATTTTTATGCAGGTATTTCAATGAGATGTCCGCTCAAGGCCTACGTCCCCGTACCGTATCCAGCCCCATTCCCTACAGCCCTTCCCCGTCCTCCAGCAGACCCATCTCACCAGGTACACCAGGTTTACTTGCTAAAATATTTGATGTACATTTCCTAATTCACTTCATTATTTTAATTTTCTATTGAAAAGTGTTTAGTGTATGGGTCACAGTTTCTATTGTAATAATAAAAAAACTTCATAAACTGATTCAGAGTTGGTAAACCTAAGTTGACTAAGTCAGATTCAGTCCACACCTCTCTTCAGGAGTAGGTCTGGCCAACATTCCTTGGCAGAACAGAACATTCAAATTAAACACTCTACACAATAAATCCCCAAGCATATAGTACTTAGAAGATTTTTTTTAGAAGTGAACTGCCTGTCTAGGCAGGTTATTTTGACATCATGGGTCTGATGATTAAACATAAACATTTGGCTTAATAATAGGCAGCTACAACAAAAAACACATTTTGACTGAAATCTAAGCATGTATCCATGTATGCATGAATGTTCTTTTAGATAAGATATTTTCAACAGATTAATCAAAATTGCAAAACTGGTCTAAATTATTTGTTCACTAATGTTAATATTTAGTTAACTCACTGATTTGACACAAAGGAGATGAATGACTTGAATTTCTATTCTCACTAAACTCCCTATTGATTGTTGTTGCATGGAAAATGGCAACCAGTATATTAATGCTGTATATAATGCACCTCAAGAAATTTGCTAAAGCCTCGCTGACTTTTTACGCATGCTGTGTTCTGCAGGGTTGTCATATGCGAGTCACACAGTGGGCTTCACCCCACCAACTACGCTGACCAGAGCAGGCATGTCCTACTACAATACACCCGGCCTGCATGTCCACGTAGGAGCCTCTCATGGCATTGCAGTGAGTTCCTTCTGCACCATCATTACTATCTGTTTTCGCTCTCTCTCTCTCTCTCTCTCCGTTAATGTATTTGTTAAGACTGTCACGGATATATGCATGCCATCAATGTGACCGATTTTTGTACGTAGTGTTTTTTTTTTACCTATTCTAATTGCTTTTCCGTTGCACTACGAAGAAAACTTTTTATTATATTTATGGTATTTTAAATGTATATTTTTACTAAACAGGGCACATTAGCGTCACGGATATATGCATGCCATCAATGTGACCGATTTTTGTACGTAGTGTTTTTTTTTTTACCTATTCTAATTGCTTTTCCGTTGCACTACGAAGAAAACTTTTTATTATATTTATGGTATTTTAAATGTATATTTTTACTAAACAGGGCACATTAGCACGAGAGCGCAATTCCAAAACAGCGCCGATGGGAGGGAAAGTTTCTGCGGGTGATTTACTAACAATGCACAAATTAAAGAACACAGCCACAACATCTCATTTACATATCGACCAATGCAATATACCAAGCGCAGCGCAAATTAGCGTAGTCGCAAATAAAGAATAAAGAAATAAAGAAGCCACAGTACGTTGAAAAGAACCGGAGGCCGAAAAAGGTTTTCTAGAAGTTTTGATAGAGCTGGTATTGCATGACTCCTAGCTGAGGGTTCCAAGTCGTCTTTTATTTCCTGAAGCAAATTAAAAATAACATGGCTTGGCAAACGATATGTTCGGATAATGTGTTCTTCTGGCATTCCAAATAAATTAATATGTGTGGGGGGGAAAAAAATCCTCTCCCTTCTACCACGTGCTCTTTGTTCCCTGCGGTGCCTCCTCTAGTGGCCGACCGATATGGGTTTTTTGACTGCCGATATCTTGGAAAGCAGGGTGGCCGATATAATTTTATTTATTTTCATTTATATTTAAGAAATTTGAAATCATTTGAAAATGGATTGAAAATAATTGTGTAAAATAAACATACTTATACTTTAGAAGACAAAGCATTTTTCACAAATAAATAAATATTTAATAAAAATCTAATTAAAAAGGAAGTAAACGCAGGAACCAACAGGGCACTCAGTATTCTGGGAAGTTTGTGTGAATCCTTTTTTATTTTTATTTTTTTCAAATAAAGCCAAGGTAACACTCATTTTACATACAGCACGCAATGAAAATTACATGAATATGACAGTGGGCAACTGCATAAAGTGCAGCATAATTTGAAATCACTTGTTTAAAGTTCATCGATCGCGCCTCTCCAGTGAAGCTGAACTCTCCTCCTGTCAGCATTCAATTTGCACGGATCGACCGTCACCCAGAGAACACGCGATCATGCAGGATACAAACGCACACTTCACAAGATCTCAACTAGATTCGACTAAGTCTGCAAGCTTTGTGAAATTAAATGTTCATTAGTCATTCAAAGATTTGTTTAAATGATATAAATGCGTGTTTGCTGAATGCTGATGGCAAATGAGAAAGTTTTATAATGTTTGCCTTTCTATTACTAATAATATTAAAGCAATCGTTATACACGGATATATGCATGCCATCAATGTGACCGATTTTTGTACGTAGTGTTTTTTTTTTACCTATTCTAATTGCTTTTCCGTTGCACTACGAAGAAAACTTTTTATTATATTTATGGTATTTTAAATGTATATTTTTACTAAACAGGGCACATTAGCGCGAGAGCGCAATTCCAAAACAGCGCCGATGGGAGGGAAAGTTTCTGCGGGTGATTTACTAACAATGCACAAATTAAAGAACACAGACACAACATCTCATTTACATATCGACCAATGCAATATACCAAGCGCAGCGCAAATTAGCGTAGTCGCAAATAAAGAATAAAGAAATAAAGAAGCCACAGTACGTTGAAAAGAACCGGAGGCCGAAAAAGGTTTTCTAGAAGTTTTGATAGAGCTGGTATTGCATGACTCCTAGCTGAGGGTTCCAAGTCGTCTTTTATTTCCTGAAGCAAATTAAAAATAACATGGCTTGGCAAACGATATGTTCGGATAATGTGTTCTTCTGGCATTCCAAATAAATTAATATGTGTGGGGGGGAAAAAAATCCTCTCCCTTCTACCACGTGCTCTTTGTTCCCTGCGGTGCCTCCTCTAGTGGCCGACCGATATGGGTTTTTTGACTGCCGATATCTTGGAAAGCAGGGTGGCCGATATAATTTTATTTATTTTCATTTATATTTAAGAAATTTGAAATCATTTGAAAATGGATTGAAAATAATTGTGTAAAATAAACATACTTATACTTTAGAAGACAAAGCATTTTTCACAAATAAATAAAAAAAATCTAATAATCTAATTAAAAAGGAAGTAAACGCAGGAACCAACAGGGCACTCAGTATTCTGGGAAGTTTGTGTGAATATTTTTATTTTTTTATTTTTTTCAAATAAAGCCAAGGTAACACTCATTTTACATACAGCACGCAATGAAAATTACATGAATATGACAGTGGGCAACTGCATAAAGTGCAGCATAATTTGAAATCACTTGTTTAAAGTTCATCGATCGCGCCTCTCCAGTGAAGCTGAACTCTCCTCCTGTCAGCATTCAATTTGCACGGATCGACCGTCACCCAGAGAACACGCGATCATGCAGGATACAAACGCACACTTCACAAGATCTCAACTAGATTCGACTAAGTCTGCAAGCTTTGTGAAATTAAATGTTCATTGGTCATTCAAAGATTTGTTTAAATGATATAAATGCGTGTTTGCTGAATGCTGATGGCAAATGAGAAAGTTTTATAATGTTTGCCTTTCTATTACTAATAATATTAAAGCAATCGTTATAATACTTTTTTGTATACATTTTAATTAATTTGTTTAACAGTTCTATCTGATTATTAGATAGACTTATATCCTTATTAGACAGAACTGAACGACGACAGCGAACAAGAGGGAGAATGTGAGCGGTGTGCGCTCAGGTGCTCTGGCTGCCGTTCTCAGCACCGTCAAAATAAAAGTCCCGCCTCGAACACATCGGCCAAACAGAAAAACTTATCGGCCTATGCCGATATTTGAAAAATGGCAAATATCGGCCGATATATATTGGCCTTGGCGATATATCGGTCGACCACTAGCCTCCTCCTAGCAACAATAATTGCAGCCATTTCAAGCGCAAAATAGTTTGACATGCTTTTTTTGGGCATTAAATAATGGCGCAAATGCCAGTAATTTGACGAGCGCAAAGGTTAGTAAAACGTGTTGTGTGATTCATTTGAATACTCTGCTCCCATACATTTTGCATCTAAAAGGGAAACTCCTACAAATGCATATTCAATAAGGTCAGGTGCAAAAGTAAGTGTTTCAGCGCTAATTCGTCAATAGTAAAACTTGACAGTACAGTTTTAACGCCAAAAGACGGTTTGTGCTGGCGCAAGCTGTTAGTAAAACTGGTCCTTAATGTGAACATTTGGTTTGCTCATCGGCCGGAGGAGGAAATCCAGGAGCTCTCAACCCCACCACGAACACGCCAGAAATGAGCTCCCCGAAGGCTGCCGGCAGTTCCCTTTTATATGCCACGCCTCGATGGAACATCCAATGGTGCATCACACCACATCATCAGTGAGCCTATCAGACGACAGCCAGTGCAGGAAGGAGGGAGAGAAAAACAAAAGCAAAGTGCAACAAAAATATAAAAAACGTCAGTCTTAACAAAGAAAACAAACAAACTGATAAATACAATAAAAAGAAGATACAAATAAACAGTGCTTACATTATTTACATTTTTTTTTGGAGGTCTACTCATATTACTGTTCAGGGCTGCATTTCCCAAAAGCTTCGTAAGCCTAAGAAGTTCGTAAAAACTATCGTATGACTGATCTTAATATTACAGTCTGTTTCCCAAAAGCATCGTAACTTAAGTAGCACTTGAAAATCATCGCATACGAGTACTCATAAAGCCCTAAGTGCATCGTAAGAAGACAGATTTATGCGGTCACCTGCAGGACAATCGGCAGATTACACCTTTAACTTTATTCAAGTGCGATGTGATTATACTGTAAGGATTTCATCGTACTATTTTATTTTTTTTATGAATAAAAGCAATGTAGGAAAAATGCTTCAAAGATTGGGGGGAAAAAAATCTGTCAATGTCTTGCCGACGTGCACATCTTTGTGCAATATAAAAATGTATTTGATGATCTGAATCTTTTAAGTGTGACAAATATGCAAAAAAAAAAAAGTTTACTTTTCACGGCACTGTATATATATTATATATTATTGTAAAGTATAATATTATATGTATAACTATAATATTACATAATATTGTATTATAGTTATTATATCCGAGTTGTCTGGAACGCAGCATTAGGTTAACATTTTAATAAACGAGCGTGTACTACAATTACAAGCCTTTCTATAAGGTGACATTTCAGCACTTGACAAACGGATAGCGACTCCTAAGTAGCACTTAAAGCACAGCTACGTGCGATTGTGTTAAGTGCATTTTTGGGAAACGCACGTGAAACAATAACGAACGATCGTAAAATGACTCATAGAAAACGCTCTTAAGCGAAAGATCAATCGTTATCGAAAAACGCAGCCCAGGTAAGTAATATAGCCTACAAAAGAAATCTAATAAAATAACCAAATGTAAAATAACACTGTAGTTTTCACTGTACAATTTGATTGATTAATGCTAACATTATTCAGAGAGCTGAGTGATTTTTTTTCTTTGCATTTTGTTGTTTGATTAACATTGATGGCCCGATCTTCAGAAGGTGACTGCATATACGTATATTGACACACATCAGATTTTCTCCCAGCTGTTCACGTCCACTTAAGACATAAACTGTGTTTAAGTGAATACTCTCCAAGCAGGCCATTTTGACATGTTTTTGTGTGTCTTCGATCATTTGGACGCGCATCCAAAGCCCAAAGTGTAATTTGCATGTCCATTCTAAAGTGCACACACAATTCAGTCTAGCATCTCTCGCGCAGATTAATGTGCTTTCAAACATGTCCCGCAATTTAGTAACAGTAAAGACTGCGTTTTAAAAAGACAATCTTTATTATTATTTTTTTAAGATTAACTGTTTTTTCCAAGGCATTGTTAGATGCCAGCGTTTCCTGTAAAAGCTATGCAAAGATTTGATTTCAAAAACTAAAAATAACTATTAAACTATATCTTGATTGATTTTAAACCTTTATTTAACCTCAGAACGATCTCAAGGTAAAAAAGTGCTAAAGTCTGATTTTGTGGTGGCTGTTTTAAAATTTAATTATTATAATGTTCATTCTAGTGAAGAAGGATTTTGAAAGTCTGACGGTAATCAGTGTTGAGTACTACTGTAAGGTTAACCCTGCCTGCTTTAAAAGTTTCAGAATGATTAACAGTTGAAAAAAAAAGTAATCAAATGTAATAAAGTAATTGAAAGTTACACTACTTATAACATTTTAAATAGGGTAACTTGTAATCTGTAACCTATTACATTTCCAAAGTAACCTTCCCAACACTGAGCATGATAGCATTCAAAAACATTTTACAAAAAATGTTGCTGCCAGAATAAGGATAAAATATAGTGCAGTCAGCTGAAATACAATTTGAATTTGAATTGAGCAGGGAAAGTAATGTGACCTGAGCTACTGTGCAGCATGACATCTGAACTTTACTCGGTGAGGACATTATCCGTGGAAACACATATAGTGGTTCTAGATAGGACTGATATGAATTTCCAGCTGGTTTAGACATCACATTTGTCATATCCCATGACCGTCTATAGACTGTTTTTCTCCCCCACAGAGACCCTCCCCAAGGAGAAGCAACAGTCCAGACAAATTTAAGCGGCCTACGCCCCCTCCGTCCCCCAACACGCAGGGTGGTGTCCAGCCCCCGCCTCCCCCTCCACCCGCCGTGCACCCGACATCATCCCAGGCCGCTCCACTGCAGCCGCAGCAGTCCTTGCAGCCATAGATCAGTGAGCCATCGCAGGGACTCGAAACAGAGCTGCTTCACTGTAACATCCCTCAAGCCAAAGGCTTAACAATCCTCAATGCCTTCTTCATCTTGCACTGAAACCATTCATCTGTGTTGTGTTCATAGTTCTGTGTTTGGAAGCGTTGATTGTGTCAGCTTAAGATGGTGTGTGAGGTGAGGTGAAGGCATTTTCAGCTCAAGAGGGAATGAACATCACTTAAGTGTATAGCACTGTTTTAGCAAGCACTTATTGCTTTGGCATCAGTGCGTGTCAAGCGATCTACACCTTTAGCAACCATTGCTTGTTTGTAGACTGACAAAAAATACTACTTAGGAAATGATGTGGTCATATATTTTTCGTAGTGGAGTATTTTTCCAGTGTTCAGAGTAACACTTTAAAAGTGTCAACCAGAGTGGACCAGCAGAACATTACAGAAAGCCACAGGTGTGCTTCTGTACTCCAAATAGAATCGTGGTCAACGCAGCTAATGGCCTTTTAAGGATTAAACTGCAGCCCAATATCACTTTTGAATTCTTGGTTAATAATTCACAAGCAAGTGTCTCAGAAAGTGATAAAAAAAAAAAAAAAGAGGCATCCTGGTTATTGCAGCAATATGTATTTGGCTATTTCCTTGTAATCACATTTTAAAATCAAGACAGCAAAAAACTTTGCATTAGTAATGAGTCTCCCAAAGAAGTGTCCAGGTCATATTTCATCCTAAAACCAGGAAGAACAAAAAAAATTGCGTAATTAGGGCTTTGTAGAACCAATTCCTGTTATTATAATGCAATAGAAAAAAAATCAAATTTGGAATCTGCTCAACTGTATGTATATATATATATATATATATATATATATATATATATATATATATATATATATATATATATATACACATGATTTTTGCTCGCATTTGGTGCTTGGCGAGTGTTAATTTTAGGCCCTGTGTATATATATATATATATATATATATATATACTCAGAGAGAGAGAGCTAAAATATTAACATTTATTTAGAAATATATTTGGATTTCAGAGCAGTACATTTTTCTTACATTGTGGCTTTATTTTAATGATGAGCACATTTTCCTCACAAATTATATAATTGTAATGGGGAAGAAAGAAACATTTTTTTTATTTTTGGATTGATTTTGGAGTGAAATATGACACCCTAGTAAGTGACTTTTTGCAGTGTTCACATGAGAACACTCTGCGGTAGATGACTTGGTGTTTTGCGGCTGCTGCAGTTGCAATGCGTTGTTAGCATGTGCCAGACTTTAACCCTCCTGGTGGGTTCTAAAAGCTTTTTTTATATATATTTCAGCCAGACACTTAAAACATTAAATGGTGTAAATTAGAAAAGACTAGTGTGTGTATGCGTAGAGCGCTTGTCTGGTTTCTTATTACAAACACACCTGCAGCTCTTTTCTGCAAAACAGTGTCTGGTACCACTGTGAATATTTTTTTCTTTTCAGAATGTACTGAGTTATAAGAATGAGTTTGAACAATTGTGCAAGGAAGTGAGTTAAAGCGTGTGTAAATAGACTTTTGTATGCTTTGCAAAAAAAAAAAAGGAAAAAAGCATATGGGTCTCTAAACACATAAGTGTTTCCTCCACTAGTTTGTGTTTGTGAGTTCATCTTAGACTCCTGTCATTGGTGAGCTTTTAAGGATTCTCTCAGAGTTACCAAATAAATCGCAAATTGAGATGCAGCTGAACATGCGGAACAAGAGAAGAGCGCTTCTTATTTATCATTTCATGCAGATCAAAGTAACCAATGATTCATTTCCTGGTACTAACCAGCTGGATTGCGGTTAAGTCAGTTGTTTTGGATGGGTTAGCTGTGGCCAGGTGGATGCTAGGCCATGTTGTTGAACAATATCTGACAAAAACAGCACTGTGTTTTGCTGCAGCATGGCATCGGTGCTTTTCATATTTACTACAGGGTGTGTCTGTATTTTCTTTGCATCTTTTATTCTTCACCATGTATTCTCTGAGAGCACAATTCATTAGATTGAGAAGCAGGAATATTTTTTTTTCTTTACTTTTGTTTACCTTTGTACTGTCGTCATTGTAAATATTCATGTGTTTGTATAGAAAAAGAATACGTTGTATTGCAAATCTGTTTCAACCGTTTTCAGTTTTTACCAGAGCTGCTTTTTGTCCTTTCCAGCTCCATCCAACTTTTGTTTTTAAGACTGTTGACGAATGAATGTAATGTTTGCTCATTTTACTGCTATCCTTAACAGATGGGACACCTTTGAGCCTTAACTCACTGCGCTATTGCTAAATGTAGCATGGTCTAGCTTTTCCCCACATCAGACTATTAAAGCGTTAATATGCACATTTTGGTCTATTTTAAACCGGTACAAGGTTTGCATTGCGTCATTTGTAAAGCAAGAATATGCTATGTTATGTAATGGTTATTTTGGTTATTAAAATGATGATGATGATCCTAACTGAAGATTCTGAATTGGTGTAAAACTCATGACCATGCACTGTCTTTCAAGTATTTCTTTGCTTTATGAAGCTAAAGCACTTTTGAAGTCACTCTGGATAAAAGCATGCTAAATGCCTTAAATATAAATGCTTTGAATTGCATTGCAAATGTACCTCCTCTTCACTGTGTCAGTTGTCAACAGATGATATTGTTACATCAACTTCAGTCTCACTATTCTTCCCATGTTGCAAAGTAAAGGTTTCAACATATTTCACATAACATTTTCAAGACGTCGTGAGATATTTTGTGGGAGTACTGTGTGGAAACCTTTTCTGGCAGCTTTTGGTCTTGGGATATTTTTGTTTTTCTTGTTGCTACAATCTGTTGATTTGAGCTTTATCTTTGCGGTGCATTCCCATTTGAACATGCAACATGAGCATCTGTCCCAATGGCAGATTCACAACGGCCTGCTTTGATGAAGATGGATGATTTCAAATGTGCATTTTAAACTTTGTTTATGTGTGTGATCACAGAACGGAGAGTAAAGAGCAGGAAACTGCATGAGAATACAGTTCACTCACAATATCCTGTTGCTTTTCCATATAAGTGGTGATAGTTGGCCCCTTAAAGGGGTCATATGATGCGATTTCTCTTTGGAGTGTTACAAGCTCTTGGTGCATAAAGAAGATCTGTAAAGTTGCAAAGACTAAAGTCTCAAATCCAAAGAGATATTCTTTATAAAAGTTAAGAGTCAGGCACGCCTA